ACACAAAAACAGGCTGAAAGAAAGAAAGGGAAGACAAAGACCGAAGAGAGGCAGGAAAGAGAGAGAATCCTAAATAATTGAAGGCTACTAAGAGAAGCACCACAGCAAGAGTCCTAAGTGTGTTGTCCCCTAACTCTCCTAGCAAGGAGTGCATTTATTAGTAGTCACAAATAAATATGTATGCACCACCAGAGATACTCATGGGACTTGGACATGTGTATTCTGTTTAGGGTTGGATTATTGGAGGATAAGCTTCTTGGTGGGGAGGAGGGGGTGTCTAGCAGGTGATGACTTGTGTGATGTTACTAGCAGACCAATTCTGGGATGGATGGAAATGAAGATCATTCCTGTAGTCTCTCTTTTTCCCAGGACATGGAATAAATGCCCAACTCAAATGCTGTGAGAGATACTCAGGCCCTGAGGCACTGCTGATGACCCATGCAGAACCTTCTTTGGGAAGGAATTATATTACTACCTCACTGGAATGTAAGCTACATAAGGGCATGGACTTCATCTGCTTTGTTCACTGCTATATGTCCAGCACCTAGAACATCTGGCATATGATTTGCCCTCAATAAATATTTGTTGAGCATATATGTGAATTGGTGGGAATGTGATCCATTCCAAACAGTAAATATTTATTCATCTTTCCAAGTTCTGTTGCTTTTATGTTATGTAAGGGCTTCACACCTTACATGGCTTGGATGATCACAATTTCCAAATGAGTGAAATAAGATATTCATGAGCTTGATCACAAGTAAAAACCAATTTACTTTCAAGGAGAGGCATGACATGGTCCTATTGTTCCTAAAAAAGAATGTTTCAGAGTTATAAGAGCCAAGAGAGAAGGAGAGTCAAGGCAAACTCTGTGGAAACCTTAATGAAAATCTCTTGCATGCCTACAGAATTGCTCTCAAGTGGCCGATTGGATGAGGAATGATTCTGAGGGTCCAGCAGGGGATAAATGGTGCATACGTGGGTGGGAGTCAATACACCTTCCCTGGCTGGAGCCCCACATCTCTGTTGTCCCCTGGAGACTAAACAGAAAGCCTAGCAACAGAGGTGGTACCATTGCTCAATGGTGCTATCTTGGTGTTGATACCTAGTTTGTCTTTGAGGACTGGGAAGAGCTCGGTAAACCTCTCTAACAGGCTCCCCCCAAGTTCAGATACCTCAGGCTTTGTCTGTAAAACCCATGCCTGAGATATTCCATAAAAAGAAGAAAGGCTAATCTTTGAAACATCAGACTTAAACCCGTCACTCTCCAAAGGCCTTAGGAGAGCACAGAACAGGCCTAACACATCCACCATTTTGTTCTACCTTCCTCCAGCTGAGTCGAGGACTGTGAAACTCCTAGTGCCACTACTACCCGCACACACTGTGCATGTCTCCTTGAGCCTGAGGGCCAAGGGGCTTCCCACCTCTACCCGCAGTGCTCCCTTAGCACCAAAATTTGAGCCTCCACTTTCGAGTAAACTGTCACATCCATGGAGGTTGCAAATGACCCTGAAAAGAAAAACTCACACACGGTAAAAAGATGCAGCCTTGCTCCTTGGAGATCCAACTGAAACACCCTGGTCCTTGTCAGCAGATTTTTAAAAAGGCATTTGTCTTTTATTTCACTCCCCTCACCACCACCACCAAAAAAAAACTCCTTACCTCAATGCTTCTGAGAAGTACCTAATGTTCTGTGAGTTCCATCAGACTGGGGACAGATCTTGCCTTCTGAGGTACCCCTCAAACCAGTTTCTACTTCAATAAGTGGGATATGCAATATGAGGGAGTTGGGTCCAGGAAGGTATGCCAAATGATTCTCCAAACTAGTCCCCAAAAGTAAGCCCTAGAAATCACAGAATTAACCAAATAATACCCACCCCGACAGATATGCTGCCCCTCAGATTGAAGTTTTGGGAAGCCTGCTTGTCACGAGGGCACAATTGCAATTTTCCTTGCATAGGGCTGAAATGTGACAGACTCCTGGAATGAAACATTTATGAAAATGTGCTTAATCCATTTTTAGCAGCTCAGTAGTTTTTTCACGATGAAATAATATTTTGCATCCTGAAAAACATTTTGCCTATCGTAGCCTCTACACAACCTCAACATCGCAATACAGTCAGTTCTCTGGGCCAGTGTCACCGTCAGTTGCAAAACAGAAAAAGGGTGTTATACATTTGGAACGTGGAGAATCATATCCATCATAGTTTGACGATAAGAAGACAGAAGGGTTATGGGGCAAGGCTGAACACAACTTTGTACCCTTCTTCCCAGGTCAGAAAATGCTAAGGTCATCTTCAGAGAGTGTGGCTTCCTGTTAGCACAGGAACTCTTGAGTGGGCATCTCCCCTGCCTCTTGTCAATTCCTAGGAGAAATTACCCAGTTCTTTGCCACCTCCCCCTCCCTTCTGCTCCCAAAAAGTTTATTTCCAGAATCCTAGGAAAGCTGTTACCCGTTCATCATGCCAGCCACACATTTGGTCATCACTGCAGCCTCTCCTAGGAAAGGATCTTTCCTCCCAGCAAGCTGACCCTGCTAATGCTCTTACCACTCAGGGATCCCATGGGGGCACAAAAGAGGTGAGACTGAGACAGTGCACCAGTCCCCAGGGGCCTATGACTTCCATTAGCCAAGAATTTCAGATGACTGAGTATGAGGCCACAGGCCTAAGGGGCAAGAGAATAAAAACGGTTTCCTCATTTCTCCTTAGTACCATTACCTCATGCTGGTCTTCTGTCTGGAGTGTCACACTTATCATCCCAGCTTGACAAAGATGCAGAGGCACTGGGCTCAGGGAACCATTTCTGAGAGCCCAGGATGCATCTTTTAAGAAACACACACTAATTGCCTATAATGTGCCATGCTCTGGGCTGGGCCCCAGGGAGTTGGTGGATAATATGTCTCTGCCCTCAGGGCGCTCATGGTACAGCAGGGGAGAGAGGTAAGTAAGCAGGCGACTGTAGCTAAGTGTGATGGATGCTGTGAAGGGGAAAGGCCAGGGTCTTGTTGGAACACATTGGAGGGTCTCCCAACCCAGACTTGAGCGGGGGGCGGGGGGGTGGTGAGTGCACTTCAAGAAGTCTTTTTTGAGAAAGTGACAATAAAGCTTAGTTTACAGGACTTGGTAGGAGCGGCAGGAAAATTGCTTTGGTAGAAGGAACATGTGAAACTACCCAGAAGCTGGAGAGACTTGTGACTCTAGACACATCAGTGGGACAAACAGAGTGACCAGATCATGTGGCACCTTGAACTTCAGCCTGAGAGCAAGAGGGAACCGTTGAGGCAGGGGAAACGACATGATGAGGTTTGGCACAAGGAGTGAATTACACAGAGGAGACAAGTGCCTCCCCACACCCCTACTTGCCCTTAGCTCCCTCCTCAGGAGCTCTGCCAGGAAAGGTTCTTGCTTCTGGCCTGTAGTCTGCAAGTGGGCATTGTGGTGCTTACCAGCAACAAAGAGGGAGGGTGAACAGGTAAAGGGGCTGCTAAAGAGGTTTTTAGGAAAATTAGTACTTTGGCGTTTTTTGTACTTACTGGCCATATAAACGTTAGTTGAGGCTTGTAATGTCCCTAGTCTCAATTCCAAAAGCCCAGCGCCCCTCCCATCAACATTTCAGTGTATATTGTTTAAAATGATCTTTCCCTGTCATTTGTGATTTAAAAATCCCTCCTCTTGAATAATAACCCAAACCAAAGGAGATAGAGTGCAAGTTCCACCCATTGTTACCTTGTCATCATTACTCCCTCTAACAACACAACGGGCCCCTAGACAGCTTGAAATCCCCACAAACCCCTATCTGGTGATGCTGGGGGGGAGCATGCTGCAGTCAACTCTAGAATTGACCCCTGTAAAGAGGCACCGACCCTTCCCCTATACACACTCAGAACTCAGCAGAGCTGGTGTGAGAGTTTCCGTTGAAGAAGAAATGAAACACCTTGGCTTCTCACTGTTGCGATTTAGAAGAGAGTAAGAGAATGGAGATAACAGGGAGGTGGAGAGAGAAACCGAGGATGGAGAGAAAGTGAGGGCCAAAGAAGAGGGAGAGACAGAATCCGAAGGTGAGACCCAGAGAAGAAACAAGGAAGGAGGTGGAGATGGAGAGAGGAAAGATGGAGGAAAGCATCAGGGAGAGTGGGGAAGAGAGTGAAGGAAAAGAGAGAGGGAGAGGCACTGGGGGAAGTCCCAGAGCAGTTGAGCTGCTGCCTGGGAAAGTTTGGGGAAGGGTCTAGCAAGAGACATGTGGCTGCTAGAGCACCTGGATGCTGTAAGCAAATGGGCAGAGGCCAGGAAGGGGATAGACTCACCCTCCCGTCCTCTCTCATCCATCCAGGGCTGGGTGGCCAGGTCACTGCTCTCGGCCCCCTTGACTCCTCTGAAGCTTGCAAAGCTTGCCGTGTGCCAGGCCCGGTCTGGCCCTGCCAGGGACACCTATCCCATCCTACAGCCAAGCTTGTCTTCGGGAAGGGTATCAAGGAAAGGGGGTTTCCAAGAGCTACGGAGGGCTGGCCAAGCTCAACCTGAGGGAAGAAAGTAGGCAGGGAAAAGGATGTACAACTGCAAGGATGAAGGAGATGGGGCAGGCAGACAGACGGACAGACTGACAAGGAGGCAGACCCCATATGAAGAAGATTCCAAAGTTCCTCTGTGTCATCCATGCCCTGTGCCTCCATCCAGAGGGTTGAGGAAAAGCCGCCCCTGCCCTCGGCCTCCCTCTCATCTCCTCTCAAACCTGAAGCTGTCAGCTTGAGAAAACCCAGTGGCTCCGCCTAAACCCTCTCAGGTTTTTTCCCCCCCTTATAAGAATCATTAGGACGTCAAGAGCCCCAGGCCAAAAGGGATGCTGCTGGGGAGCTGGGAACAGCGCAGCCTGCATGCGCTCCTCCAGCTGGAGAGTTAGAAGCTGGACAGACCACCTCCAGCCCTCTCCCAGCGGCAGCGGCAGCCCAAGCTCCTCCCTGGCACACGGACACGCTCCGAACCCCACTCCAGCTGCCGGCGACTGTGCCTTTAAATTGCTGCTTTCGGAGGGTGCATCCAGGGGGAGGTGGGAGGGAGGGAAACATCTTCCTACCAGTCTCCCTCCTCCCTCCCCTCCAAGACTCTCCAGGGTTTGGAGAGTGATTGCTGCCCAAAGAGAATCTCCTTCAGCTCCCTGGCAGGCGGGCTGAGGCCCTCTGGAACCCCAGGCGAGCCAGAGCAGGAGCCCGAAAGGTTATCTGTGTCAGGATCATTTCCAGGGGGCCAGTTCTGGCCCCTGACTGGTAACGACAGGGCAGAGGAGAAGAGAGCAGAAGAGGAAAGAGAGCGCACAACTCCTAGCCCAGCCCCACGGGCTCCTTGTGAACAGACCAAGTTGGAGGAAGGCTCTGTACTTTCTGCAGCGTTCCCCCCTGCTGGGCTATCCCTCTCACCTTGGCAGCCAGACTGAGAAAGGGCTCCAGGGTCCCTGCGGAATGACAACTCTCGTTCCTGCAACCTTCTCCTTCCTTCTCCTCTGGACCCTGCCAGGGCAGGTCCTCCTCAGGTGAGCTGCGTCGGGGTGAGAAGGAAGTGCATGCAAACCCTGGCCGGGGGCAGCAGGGGCTTCTGGAACAGTTTCCTCTAAGTTTACAAAAAGCCCACAGTCCGGAGGGCTCCAGGGAAGGACACGCCCTCCCTTAACGGGGTCCCAGGAGCCTTTCAAGAGGCATGCTGAAGCCCCAGAGCTGGTGGGAAGCCTTCTGCATGGGGGAGAGCTTCCTGGGCCTCGGTAGGGGCTAGGTAGCTGAGCCCCAGAATGGAGGCCATCTGTCCTGCCATCCTGTCCTGTCTTCCTACCAGCATGGTTACACACTGCTCAGATTCCTAAAAATGACACCAACATCTGTCAGCTGCCCACCAAAGAGGCTTCAGGTAGCAGGGGTTTGCCCTGAACCATATCAGAATGAAGCTGGGCTGAGCAAACCTTGGCCCTCTGCAGTCACCCAGCCTGTGCACACATGGCAGCTTCCTGTCCCGAAGGGGCACTCAGTAGCTGTCATTTCCTGGGTTTCTGAGGGCAAGACATGCTTTGGGCTCCCTGTAAATGTCCCCCTCCCCGTTCCCACTTTCTCATGAGACCAGGAGCCAGGCGAGGCGGACCGGGTGAGTTGAGGAGGAAAGATGACTGTGGCTTGGGCTGACCTGGTCCTAAGAAGAGTGCCTCCCAAGGTGGAGGGGCCGGGTGCCACTGCAATAGACCTCCTCCTCTTACCTCCAGGAGTACACCAGGACTGCTTGTCTCTGAGGCGCCTCCCACCTCACAGCTTGCAGACACCCTGGCTGGGAGGAAGGTAGGGATGCAATATGTGTGGGGCGGCAAACTCCCTAAGAGTGAAAAGTAGCCCAAAGTAGAATGGCAGCTCAGCTGGAGTTGGTAGGAGGACGCAGGCAGGAGGGGGAATGCGGGGGGCGGGGGCACTCATTGGCCCTCCTGGAGGGGAGACTGCCTCACGGCCCAAGCTTTGGTGGCAGCATTCCCGCTTGAGCAGCTAGGGCAAGACAGGACCTTAGGAAGTCTTGAGTCCGACTCCTTCACTGTATCTATGGAAACTGAGTCCTAGAGATGGGGGGTGACCTGACCAAAGTCACTCGGGCACCCAGTAGCAGAATCAGAGTTCTCTCCCACCCCACCCCCAGGGCCTTGCATGAGCCAGATTTTTCAGCTCCAGAACCTCCTGGGTCCTGCCAGTATTTGGGACTTTCCAGGAATGAAAGGGAGGAAAAAGTGGCTGCACACAGTGACTCTGCTCTCAAGCCCAGAGACAAGTCAGCCCCAGAAAAGAAGGTCTATGACAGGAGTTGGGGTCCAAGACAGCTGAGCCCACAGCCTGTCACAGGGTCCTGGGGCTGGGACAACTGGGAGAGGTGACCTGAGAGTGGGGTTGAACATGGCGGCAAGGGTCTAGCTGCCCCATGAACAGGGCCATGTGGCTTCCCAGCAGGCAGGTGGCAGGCAGCCAGGAGCAGCACCTGGCCAGCAAGGACACCCTGTGGTGAGGCCACAGACTTCTGCTGCTCAGCACCACTACCAGCCTCCTCGGATTTTCAGAGCCTGCTTAAGCCACCTGCTCTGGCAGCCCCTGCTTGGGGCCACAGTGGCCTCTGTTCCCAGGGTAAGGGCTTCCTCCTGTTCAGAGGAGTCAAGGAGGCAGGATTCTAGGAGGTCAGGATGTGGCTTCCACCCACCTTCCCTCCACTCTGATTCCTTGGCAGCCTACCCTGGGCTGCTTGCGTCATGGCGCTGTGGTAGATGGACTTAGTTTTGAAGTCAGTGGCTCTGGGTTAGAATCTTGGCTTTGCCATTTACTAGCCATATGATCACGAATAAGTTGCTTTCCTTGCTGATCCTCAGTCTCCTCATCTATATAAGAGGGATAATAATAACCTTATCTGGGAGGACTGATATGAGAACTAAACTAGATAAGGTAAGTAAAGTGCGTAGCATGGTGCCTCAGCTATTATTATTTAATGGCTCATAATGCATATGATCTATATGGCCTAGCATGGTACATAGATGTACCGGTAAACAGGGGCCTGTTGGCTCAAAGAGGGCTGGACCCAGAAGGACAGCAGTCACCCTGCTTCCCAGCCCCAGAGTTTGGCAACAGCAGTGGCAGTGGGGGAGCTAGCTCTGGTGGCTAGCACACTGGCGATGGCAGGATGGAGTAGGAGGACCAGGCCCAGCCAGCAGTCCAGCCTGCGCCCAGCCCTGAGACCTACGCCGCCCTTCAAGGCTGAGCTCCTGGTCCCAAGTCTAGTTGTTGGCTGGTAAGCAGATAAGCAAGCATGTGGAAGGGGTTTTGCTGCTCTTAGAAGGAAACTTGTCAGGGGAGAAGAGGCCAGCCTCTAGATTAGGCCAAAGCACACTGGTCGCTTCCTCAAAATCAAGCTGCTAGAGGGAAAAGATGGAAGTTGACCTTCTCAGCATGGCCATCCTACTTGGGAGTCCTTCTCATGCTCCTAGAGCCCTGCTTCCTCACCTGTTTTGTTGCCACAGCGAGTTTACAAGCCTGCTACTGCCCCAACAGTGAACTGAGGTCCTGCTCAAAACATAGTTTCCTACTGGAGCAAACACCAGAAGCCAAGGCTCCCTCTCTAGAAGCTGGCTCCCCAGCTCCTGAGCAGTTCCGCATGAAGGCCAAGCAACTGAAACCAGCTCTCAGAGATGCAGATTGTCCTTGAGTCCTTCCCATCCTTGGTTAAGCCAAAACATTGAAACAGCCACATTATTTGCAGGGAGTTGTCATTCTTCTTTGAGTGCTTTTAAAGCACCTTCAGAAAGAGAATACTGGATGAGGCTTCAGCCCCTTGGGTTTGATCCCTGATCCTGTCACTCACCAGCCTTGAGACTTTGGGAAGGTCACTCCTCTTTTGGATTGTTTGTTTATTAGATTTCACATATCAGTGAGATCACACGGTATTTGTCTGTCTTTGTCTGACTTATTGCACGTAGCATAATGCCCTCAAGATCCATGTTGTTGCAAATGCCAGGATTTCCTTCTTTTCCTGGCTGAATAGTATTCCATTGTGTATATGTATGTGTGTGTATCTATATCTATATTATATCTTACATTTTCTTTATCCATTTATCCATTGAAGGACACTTAGATTGTTTTCTTATCTTGGCTATTGTAAATAATGTTGCAATAAGCATGGGGGTGCATATATCTTTTCAAATTAGTGCTTTAATTTTCCTTGGATATATTCTCAGAAGTGGAATTTCTGGATTATATGGTAGTTCTAGTTTTATTTTTTTGAGGAAACTCCATACTATTTTCTAGAGTGGCTGTTCCAATTTATAATCCCACAAGTCATTTTTCTCATCTGTCTTTGCCCCCATCACACTGAGAATTTTGAGGGTAAAAAAGATCTCATATATGTGAAAGCACATTTTTAGGACTAACAACTGAGCTGCAGTGTTGGCTTATGGCTGTTTCTGTTTTCCTAGTTTTGCAAATGGGTACCCAGAGATCCATCTTCTCCTATCTTCCTGCCTGATGGGGAGACCAGCCAGAGGTGTGTGGGGACAGGAAAGGAGAGGGTCTGTGATAAATGTAGAATACAACTGGCTTCAGACTTCTTTATCTCTCCTGTCCAGGGTGGCCTTGGCAATAGAGGAAGTCAAATCTGGGACCGAGGGGTCCCAGCCCATGTCCCCCTCTGATTTCCTGGATAAGCTTATGGGGCGAACATCTGGGTATGATGCTAGGATTCGACCCAATTTTAAAGGTAAGAAGCATTCATCCTACAAAAACCCTTTCTTCCCCACTCCTTTTGGGAAGTTGGCTTTGGCAATTTGGGAACTGCCTACCCCATTGACAGGAGGCTGGAGGTACAGGGCTAACTCTTACAGTTCAGAAGGAGCTTCCCCTCCCTATTGCTTATGGGTCTATGTAGCTGGCACTTCCTTCTAGCAGTGCCCTGGCCTCAAGCACAGGGAGGAAGTCCTGGAAACTGCGCCCAGCCTCCTGGAATGCCCTGCCAATATGGTTGTATTTTGCCACCCCTAGGCCCACCTGTGAACGTGACTTGTAACATCTTCATCAACAGTTTTGGCTCTGTCACCAAGACTACTATGGTAAGGAGTCTCCCTGTTCCCTGCTTCCATTCTAGTATGAATGAGAGAAGCCCACCAGATATTGAGCCTTTCCTCCCTGTGCTGTCCTCTCCCTGTCTTGTGGTCATGGCTAAAGCCATAGGATGTCTGAAGTTGGTCACTGGGAGATATCTTTCCCCAGCCTGGGTTTCAGTGGCCAAAGGCAGACTAGCCTAAGGAACAAATGGTCAAGCATGGGAGGTAGCTTGGTACAGAGCACAGACTTTGGAATCAGACAAACCTGTGTTCAAATCCTGACTCTATCATCTAATAGCTACATGACAGGTTATTTAAATATCTCCTTATTTCCATTTCCTCATCTATAAAGTGGGAATCATAACAGTACCCTCCTCACAGTGTTGGTGTGAGATTTAAATGAGACGATGCATATAAAGAAAGCACTTAGCAGAGCGCCCAGCTAATAGTAAGTGGTTAATAAATGTTTTTTCCCTTCCCATCTTTGCCATATCAGCCCAAAGCAGGCTCCTTCTCCAGTGGAAAATGCCCAATGCCCCTGAGATGTGCTCCCAGCATTTCCTCCTCATGGCCCTCCTGCCCATGTAAGCTTGCTGGGCCCCTGGAATAGCATTGCCTCTGATGGGCCCATCTGTGCACCCTCTCAGGACTATCGGGTGAATGTCTTCTTGCGGCAACAGTGGAATGACCCGCGCCTAGCTTACCGAGAATATTCTGATGACTCTTTGGACCTTGATCCCTCTATGCTGGATTCTATCTGGAAGCCAGACCTGTTCTTTGCCAATGAGAAAGGGGCCAACTTCCATGAGGTGACCACAGACAACAAGTTACTGCGCATCTTCAAGAACGGGAATGTGCTCTACAGCATCAGGTGCACCTGGTGAACAGCCAGGAGACTTTGGGTCAAGGGGAAGAAGCCAGAATGGAGGCTGAGGGGTGGGAAGAGGGTCCTCTGTGCTGTTCCAGGCCCCAGTAAGTTGATGTCACTTCTTTCTACTGTCCCTGCCAGGCTGACCCTCATTTTGTCCTGCCCAATGGACCTCAAGAACTTCCCCATGGACATCCAGACATGCACCATGCAGCTGGAGAGCTGTAAGTGTCTCTAGAGAGTCACAGAACAAGGCCTGGAATACCAGGTAGTTAACCCCCTCCCATGATATTCCAAATGAGAAAAAGGCAACCCAGAGTGGGGACTTACCCAAGCACACACTATCAGTTGTTGGCACAGATGAGACTAAGAGCCAGGACTCACTAACACCCAACCCAGTGTGTTTTTCCTTCCTCACACTATTTACTGGTTTGGCTCTTCCACAGGGCTGGGGAATGGGAAGGCACTAGCTTTACATACAAATGTGCTTGTGTTGGTTTTGGTGGGGGGAGCATTTGAAGGACACCTCCTCTGCCCAAAGATATTCCTCTCACAGAGCCTGAGGTAATTCTACCTTTACTCCACCTGAGTTAAGACATTCAAGATACCTATAAAAATGCCAGAGTTGGCAGAGGGAGTACTCTTGAACCCTGATTCTGCATGAACACAGATAACTTTTGTAGAGAAGTGGGAGAAGACCGTTCTAGTATAGGACAGCGCCCAGGGTGGCAAGGTCAGCCAAGGGCTAACTATCTGTGAGCAACTTGGCATGTTCAGATATTAACTCTCAATCTGCCCCAGTTCAGAGCCCTGGCTAGGAGTTTGTGGTGTGTACATTGTCCCATGTATGACTGGCAGAGTATAAATAGCTCTTTTCTCCCTGGGGTGAGGTGGCAGAAGCCCTAGCTCTGAGGTTGGCTCAGCTCAAGACATGTGGCCGGTACACATGCTTATTCCACTGGGTTTGACCTCTGTGACAGGGGTGCCAGCTTATAGGGGCTACCCCAATTGCAGAAAAGTCAAAGGACAACAAGGCTGGACCATCACCTATGTGCACTCCTTTGCCATCTCCTGGGCAAGGTGAGACTGTGAGATCAATACACACCAAGTTAATCCTCAGAGAAGAAGGTTTGTCAGGCTGTTTCCAGCATATAATAACGGTGATGGATAGAATGTGTCCTATGTGGTCAGCTCTTTAGAGTTCATAAACCACTTTCACATCCACGTTCTTATTACCCCCTCACAACAACTCTGAAAAGTAGGTGGAGCATTTTACAGAAAGGGAAATTACTTGCCCAAAGTCACATAGCTACTTTGAGTCAAGGTCTTACATTGGACATCTGTGAGCCTCAGTGATTCTTCTCCCATTTGTACTTGACATGTGTGAATATGGTCATATATATGGCAGGAGTTTTCACAAACTGCTAACTATCTGTGAGCAACTTGTCATGTTCAGATGTTAACTCTCAATCTGCCCCAGTTCAGAGCCCTGGCTAGGAGTTTGTGGTGTGTACATTGTCCCATGCATGACTGGCAGGGTATAAATAGCTCTTTTCTCCCTGGGGTGAGGTGGCAGAAGCCCTAGCTCTGAGGCTGGCTCAGCTCAAGACATGTGGCCGGTACACATGGTTACTCCCCTGGGTTTAAGATATGGCAGGAGGTTCCCAGCTGGGTTCCTTGATATCATTCCACCCCTTTTGACCTGCTTTCTAGGTCTGCCAGAATAATTTCTCTCTGTGCCTTTCTAAAGCTTGAGAACTAGGTAGAAGAGGAGTTTGGAATCTTTCTGATTTACCTAGTGAGGATGGGTCCATGAGACAGTTGACCAAGTACCCTCTTCAGAAAGGTTTCCCTTTCCAAGATGAACACGAAGCTCCTAAAACCCAGGCCTTACCTCCTCATCTGTTCTTTCCTGCTAGTTCTAACTCTCTCCCTACCCTCACCCAGCACCACACTCTGCAGCCCTCTGCCATCTCTGTCACTTTTAGTTGGCTACACCATGAATGACCTCGTGTTTGAGTGGCTGGAAGATGCTCCTGCTGTCCAAGTGGCTGAGGGGCTGACTCTGCCCCAGTTCATCTTGCGAGATGAGAAGGATCTAGGCTACTGTACCAAGCACTACAACACAGGTAAAAACCAGGATCTTTACTGACTGTGAGTCACAGAAGGGCCTCCAGATGGGAGGGAAGGGGGCAAGGCAGCCAGCTTTTATTGAAAGTCCGATCTGTACCAGATGTGCTGTTTCATATGCCTTATCTCATTATGGTAAGAAATCATCAGCCCCATTTTAAATCAATTGTCCAAGTCACACACCTAGAAAATGGCTGACTTAGAATTCAAATCCAGATCTAACTCCAAAGCCCATATTTTTGTCCCTGTCACATGCTGCAGAGGAGATGTGCCTGTGCCAGTGAGTGGCAGGAGTGTCCCACCTGTTCTGGGGCCAACTTTGTGTGGAAGGTGGGGAATCTACATCTGGGAGCAGCCAATGGCTGTGCTGAACCAGAAAGCACTAGACTTTAAGGAACTGGCAGGCTTACCATCCACACCTCATCCCACAGCCACCACTGCCCAACTCTTGAACTGGCTTATTTTCCCAGGTGTGAAATGTGGGCCAGGAAGTGGAGAAAGGTTGCTTTTCCAGCCTGAGCATCTGCTCCCTGCAGCTTCCCTAGGAGCTACTTGTTCCTTAGTTCCCCTGGCAATTTGGATACAAAGTGCTATGACCCTGATATAGAGGCCAGAGGCTAAAGAGGAGAGATCCTGGATACCTCCTATGGTGGGCTGACATGCTTTGGGTGCCACCCTGTGAATATGTGTGTTTGTGTATGTAGGGTGTGCAAAATAGGGAGAGGAACAAGCCATTGAATTTAGAAAACGCTGGTGGGAGTGGAAATTGGTAGAACCTTTACTGGGGAGAAAACTGGCAATTTGTATATAGGTCAGTGGTTTTCAAACTCTCGTGTGCATTATATTTCCCTGGGGAGCCTGTTAAAATGTTGATTCCTGGGCACTGCCTCTCAGAGATTCTGATTATGTGCACTTGGAGTGATGCCCAGAAATCTGCATTTGAACAAGCATCCTGAGGATTCAGTTGCAGATGGTCCAGGGGGCATACTCTGAGAAACTGTAAAAGCTAAAATTCTTTTCCCCTACATGTTGATCCAGGAATCCCACTCCTTGGAATTTATTATAAGGAAATATTCCAAATATCACTGGGTCAGTGCTTATACTAGCAAAAACTTGGCACTCTTCTAGATATCCACCAATAGGACAGAGGTTAAATAAATTACACAGTGTGTCTGTTTGGTGGAATATTATCCAGATGTTAAAAAGGATGCCTGCAAGTTGCTTATATCAACATGGAAAGTACAAGTGGAAAAGGCTAAGATTCAAAGTTGTATACACAGGATCATTATATTGTGGTAAAAGAAACAAACCAAAAGCGTGTGTTTAAAAATCCTGGGAAGAAATAGTACTAAATGTTTCTAACGTAGAGTGATACAATGGATAAAACCAAGAACTTTCGAGTCAGAGCTGAGTTTGAATTATGGCTCCATTATCTACTAGTTGGGTGCCCTTGAGAAACATAAGTTAATCTCTTTGAGCCTCAGTATCCCTATGTAAAATGGGAAATAATAATTTTACCTGCCCCAAATAGTTGCTATGGAATTTAAATGAGATAAACTATATAAAGTCAGGGCACTTAGTAGGGGCTTGATAAATGTGAGCTTACAAATATTACTGAGCTTATAAATATTATTATTTTTCTCTACTTCTCACTTTTTTCTTGTACTAAACAAGTGTTAATTTTGCAATTAAAATAAAACCACCACTACCAAAAATAGATACAGATAGATAGAGAGATGATAGATAGATAGATAGATAGATGATAGATAGATAGATAGATAGATGATAGATAGATAGAAAATGAGGGAAGGAAGGAAGCAAAGAAAATATGGATACCTAGCAAAGCTATGTCATAACAAGAAGCCTGGGGTGAGGTGGACTCAGGGAACGGTAGGAGATCACAGCATCACACAGTATGTCAAAGCCATAATCAATCATTGATGAAATTACTAGCCTTGAGGAATCAGGTCTGATAAGAGCAAGCCTCGTCCAGAATAAAATAGCAATATACACATCCTCTGCTTTTTGCTTTGGTTATCCTATACCTCTGCCATGGGGAAAAGCTCTGAGCTAGGTTTTCTTAGCCTGAGGGCATGGGAAGCTGGGCAGAATGAAGATGGCTGGCAGAGTAGACAGAGCACAGGTACATGTGCTTTGGACCAATGTACTTTTTGTTGGCGGGATAGAATGCTGCTGCCTGATGTTCTCTGGGTACCCACTGCCCACTGTCCAGGGCTGGTCTCTGTTGGACACTGTTTCCAGATATTTCCTATCCAGCTCTTATCACTTGCTTGAGACACAGGCAATGTTTATTTCAGTGAATCATTGTTGCTAGAGAGCTTCTGGGGTACCAGCAAGCTCAAGCAAGGCTGCTGAGATTTGGGCAGAGTCTAAACTCATTGCTTTGTTAATAATGATGATAGTGCCAACTACCTATAGCTCAACTCCCCAGATACATTATTTAATTTAATTCCTACATGATGGAATTGATATTGTTGTTACTCCATTTTACAGACAAGGAAACTGAAGCTCAAATAGCTTGGGTGTTTTGCCTGAGGTCACACAGCTAGTGAGTGGAAGGTTCGGGATTCAAACCTAGGCAGTCTGGCTCTGGAGCCCTTTTGTTCTTAATCCTCTTGCAGTGTGGTCAAATGGAAGGCCCTCTGCTGGAAACTAGTGCTTAGAGCAAGAGGTCAAGTCTGATGGCTGCTCCGAGAACTTCCTCAGAACATGCATCTGGTGCTCCGTGGGGCCATCTTGGAAAGCTCATTTATTTGCTATGGGATGCAACCCTATGGGATGCCCTAGTCCTGCCCCTCAGGCTCAGCTCCAGGCTGGGGACCTGAGGCCTGATACATCACCTCTTTCCTTGCAGGGAAATTCACCTGCATTGAGGTAAAGTTTCACCTGGAGCGGCAGATGGGCTACTATCTGATTCAGATGTACATCCCCAGCCTACTCATCGTCATCCTGTCCTGGGTCTCCTTCTGGATCAACATGGATGCCGCCCCTGCCCGTGTGGGCCTAGGCATCACCACTGTGCTCACCATGACCACTCAGAGCTCTGGCTCCCGGGCCTCTTTGCCTAAGGTGAAGAAAGATGCAAGGGAACTTGCTTGCCATAGAACTCCCCATTTCCCTTTCATCCCCTGTTCTCTTCTGCTCACTATTTGCCTTAGATTTAAGGTAGACGAGAGCCATTGAGCAAGAACAGGTGGCCAGAGTTTTCTCTTCCCCTACAACATACAGCTAATGATATTGCTAAAGATGTGGAAGCTGGGGTTGTGGGTGTTGTCTGGCTAAGAAATGAGTAGAGACAGTGCCTGACTTACTCTGAATTTCATCAGGAAATACTAGCATGTCCAAAATCAAAAGACCCTTAGCGAGTAGAGAGTCCCACTCCCTCATGGTACAGATGAGGTAAATACAGCCCAGAGAGATAGAACGACCTTTTCAAGGTCATGCCCCATAAGAAAAATATATATATATAAGGATTTTAAACCAACATCTGTCTCTTACTATGTCAGAAGCTGGACACGATTACAAAGACCTCTAGAGATAATGTCCATTCTTTTAGGGTGGGGAAATTTTGAGGTAGCAAATAGCAGTTAAAGTCAGTGGACTCTGAACATCTGTGGCCACAGAGAGATTTGTGCTTATGAGACTGGGCCCAGGTTCTTCCTGCTTTGTGCCTTCATGTAGGAAATTTAGGGGTCACGTCAATGTCCTTACACTCAGCAAGGCTCTGAGAAATCAGGGAGTAAGCTTATTCATTCATTCAATAAATATTTATTGAGCATGTACTATGTACCAGGTACTGTTCTAGGCCATGGAGAAATAATGGGAAGCAAAAACAACATAGTTCCTTGTGGATCTTACTGTGAACATATGCCCTCTCATTTTGATTTGATGGGAACCAGGCCCTGTGATCTCCCATCTCCCAGTGCTTATTCCTAAGAAGATATTTACGGGGGACTTAAACAGGGGGTAATCTGGGCATCCATGGTGAATTTACAAATTTGCCACGGGGGTGGTGTAGTGGTTAAGAGTAGGAGATTGGAGTCAAGCAGATTTTGGTTTAAGTCCCAGCCTCAACATTTACCAATGGCAATCTTAAGTAAATTCCTTAACGTCTCAGTCTTTTTACCTGTGACACGGGAATAAGAATATTATCTCTTCCATAGGGTTATTGCAAGAAATAAATAAGATATTGTATTAACACAGACAGCAGTGTTTAGCACCTAATAACCACTCAATAAATGTTCGATATTGTTATAATTGTTAGGTGTTTGGGTGAAAAGAATGGAGTGGTGGACCTAGGGCTAGAGCAGCCAGTGAAGTTCCCAATTATTTTTGAGTTGCTGGGAAAATTTTGAGGTAATCCAAAGCCTCTAGTAATAAACGATGACAAAGCTCAGATTAGGATCAGGTGTCTCAGGGGAAGTTGTCGGAAAGTATTTCTTATAAATGTGTTTCCTAAATGGACAGGGTTATTGAAGAGGCTCTGAAAGACAGATGGGGCTTAGGCAAGGACCAAAGGACCAGGAGGGGCTGTGATGGCCGTGGTGTGGTAGTAGCCTTGTAGGAAGACTAGAGGCAGAAAAGTAGTTCAGATCTTAGAAATGTGTCCTAGTTTATTGCAGCTGCCACGCAAGAAGGAGATTCTTCTCTAACCCGGGGAGGTTGCAATTAGTGCCTTATTCTTGCCAAGAGAACTTCCTTTTCCAGTCCCCTCCTGTGAACAAGCACAATCTGTCTGCTCCTAGGACTCACTTAGTTTCCTCATTCGGAAAAAAATGGACTTTGTTGGAGGGTTGTTTGTTTGCAGTATTTGGTGCCTTCTCATCAGATTTTGATGACCTTTTTGTGGCCTCATTGGCCAGTAAGCAAAATACGTAGGCATTCACCCCAAACTAAATAGACTCGTTGGCCAGCCCAGAAAGCAAGGGACTGAGTAAGTCAGGGAGCTTCTGCTCCCTTGAGTTTGTACATTAGATTTAGTGGGAGCCCTAAGGAAAGAGATGGGACAAATTCAGAGGCTTCTGAAAGGCACAGCAATTTCACTCCCCATACAACTCCATTATTGACACACTCATTACTAATAAGATTTTATTTCTACTGCTTAAGGTGTCCTTTTCTTTTGATGGTCCAAAGCCCTTTGTGGACCTCCCTTGTCATTACCTCATTATGGATTTTCATAGCACTTACTCAACACAGTGAGACTGGGAGATGATGAATGAAATAGGTTGCCCTCTTAATAGGTGGCAAAGTGGAAACACCAAGGGATACTTAATCAGGGGTGCCTAGCAACCCACCACTACCACCTTAGCGGAACTGCCTTAAAGGAGATAGAGCAGGTTTTCTCATCCTTAGCACTATTGCCATTTTAGACCTTATAATTGTTGTGTGTATGTATGTGTATGTGTGTGTGTGTGTGTGTGTGTCAGGGGGGAGTCCTGTGCATTATAGGATGTTTAGCATTGTCCCTGGCCTCCACCCACTAGATGCCAGTAGTAACCCTTCCCAAAATTGTGCAACCAAAGATGTTTCCAAACATTGCCAAATGCCACTCAGGTGAGGAGGCGGAGTAGGGGGGCATCGCAGGTTAAGAACCACTAAGGTGGAAGTGTTATCCAGTGAGACCTGCTCCTTACCTGGAGCCTGGAGCACCCTCACTGCCCAACATAGCTGGTGAAAGAGGTTGTCTGTCATGAAACCAACTCCTACTGGGGAGCCCTATGAGGTGGGCTCAGCAGCTCAAAACTATATAGGGAGTCCATCTGGCTGAGGAGGTGAAAGGACTTCATAAATCTAAGTTCTGTACCCCTCCCAGCCCCATCCAGCTGAAGCCCCATTCTAGGAGAGGTAGGTGTTCAATCTTCATGAGGGAAATGGGAGATAAAAGTATTTAAAGGCTTCCAAGGCAGGTAGTGGGAGGAGAGCCCTAAGAACCAGATAGGTAGATGCTAACAGTGCCTTGAAATTAGAGAAGTGTCCATAGCCGGGGGTTGGATGGCACTCCCTTGGGCCACTGAGTTCAATTCTTCAGCAGGGCCTCTCATAAAGATCAGAAGGAAAAGCCACAGTCAAGAGAATAATGGGGGTGGAGGAGGGAAAGGAAGGAGTTCCTAGTCTGATACTGAGACTGCAGCCTAGGTGAATGTCAGTGCCACTAAATTGAAAGCCCAGAGCCCCCAAATCCTAGTGCCACCTCCTCACTGGGTAATCTCGGCTAAGACTTTTCCTCTATAGGCTTCAAGTGTCCTCACATGTTTCACATGGGAATAACAAACCCCGCCCAATTTCCATCAGAGCTGTGAGGACCCTAGGAGATAACAGAAGGCAAACAAATGCAGTGTTCATGTTCGTTGCTGTTTATTGAAAGAAGAGAATCAGAAGAAGAAAAGAATGAAAAGAATAATAAGAAGCAGAAGCAGGGACAGAAGTATGAAAAGAACAAAGAAAGAAAGGAAAAGAAGTATAGGGAGGAAAGGCAGATAGAAGTGGAGGGTGGAGAGTGCAGAGAGGTGAAGGATGATGGGTAGCCCAATCTCTGACATGGGCCTTCAGGCAATGGGACATATCGTGGAAAGCTTCTTTGAACACCAGAAGAAATTCAGGGTAAAACTGAAGAATAGCAGGCGGTTGGTATGGGCTGGCGAACCACTGGATGGGCCATGGAAGGGCTCCAAGAAGGTTGATTGCTCTGTTGGTGGATGTTGCAGGTGTCCTACGTGAAGGCAATTGACATCTGGATGGCTGTGTGCCTGCTCTTCGTGTTCGCTGCACTACTGGAGTACGCTGCTGTCAATTTTGTCTCTCGTCAGCATAAGGAATTCATACGACTTCGAAGAAGGCAGAGGCGCCAACGCATGGTAAATATAACTAGGGAGGGGCCCACTTCCTTTCTCCTTTGGACTCCTTCCTCCCTACTACTCCTCCCACAAACCAAGACTCTATATAGGGCTACAAGGACTAAAAAGGCAATCAGGAACCCTGGATTCTAGTCCTAGGTTGGTCATAGATAAACTAAGTACTTCAACCTCTTCGATTCCATTTCTTTATCTGTCCAATGGGACATTAATCCCTGTAGGGCAGTCTGGTAAAGTGATTAAGAGCATGGACAAACAGAGGCCCTGGCTGGCTCAGTCAGAAGAGTATTCGACTCTTGATCTCGGGGTCATGAGTTTGAGCCCCATGTTGGGTGTAGGGATTACTTAAAAATAAATAAATAGACTTTTAAAAACAGAGAGAGCATGGGCACAGTGCCCGGCACATAGTAAGCACTGAAAAAAAGGTTAGCTCACATTAGAGCCTTATCAAGTTAGTCAATATGAGATTATTTTGAGAATTAGTAATGGTTGTTCCTGGCTCTCCCCTTACCCAGGAGGAAGATACCCCAGGTTGCCATACACTGATTGGTGGTTAAGAATTCAAGAGTCAGGCACGGGGACCTTTCTAGGGGAGCATTATAAAAGGGTCCCTACAGTTAAGCTGGAATTGGAAAACCACTACTTGCCTCTTCTGGCTGTTGGATTTCTTCGCCTTGTTCTTCATTGGGCACATCAGAGTTGTTGGGTGTATCAGAGTTGTTGGGTGTGAGTTGTTGTTCTCCCTCACTCTTGTTTGTTAACCCCATTTCTTCTACAGTAGAATGATCACCTGGGGAAATAGAGAGCTTGATGCCCTGAACAACAGGCAGTTGGCCCCTCCCCATTACCCAGACAATGGGTGCTAGGTATGTTGTCATGACAACAGAGGTGCCTGGGCCACTCACCTAGAAGCAAGTGCCCAATTATAAGCAAAGTCAAAAGCCTTTGCTGAGCTACATACTGGCCCCTTAATCATCAGACACAGTTCTGGTCTACCTTGAGCTCTGACTCCTTGTTTTCTGCCCAACCTGGAGGCTGTCAAGCCAGAGGAGATGCACTATGACTTCTGGGAGGTAGAGAAAATGATGATCTGACCCTGCTGGCTCCAGCTGGGGCCACTCTAGCACTAAAACTTTTCTCTCTTCCTAACACACACCTCCCACCTCAGCTGCTCCTGGGGTGCCCTGACCATATGTCCACACTAAAAATATCTTTAAAACTACCTCCGGGAACTCATGTCCCTGGCTAAGATGCCTTTCTGGTGAGAGCAGGGCTCCTGTCTCATCTATTGGTTTGTCGGAATATATCAATTCTTGCCCGGACCTTAGTCAGGCTCTGTGAAACACGCCCTCTAGTGGATTGATCCACAATGGCATCTCCTTGAGTAGGACTCCTTCAAGAGCCTATTAAATAAAGGCTTTCTTATCCCATGCTGAGGGTTACAAAAAATATACACAGACTTGACAGAAGGGAAAGAAAAGAGAATGCTCCCTTTTCTAAGCTAACTCTCCACCCCCTCTTTAGCTGTGTTAAACCTGCCTGCAGGTACCAAAATCTTCTCTTGATAGGGGTTCTGATCTTGATGCCTTCTCAATGCCTACCTTGAAAAAGAAGAGCAGGCTGCCAACCAGTCTCCAGTGTCCCTTTGCCAGCTAAATTGCCTGTGTGGGTGTTCCAGCAACAGCAGGCTGTTGCAGTTACTGTAGAGCTACTCCAGGTTGACACTAGTCTCGCCCCCTCCCCGCACCTCTCCAACCCCCAACTGCCTACAGTTCATCCCCTCCTGGTCATATATAAATAAGCTGATCCTGATATCATAATGGAGTCTGTCATAAGCAGTGCTCAATTATTGCAAAGTTGTAGCAGCGGCCTAGGCCCTGCTTAGGCTCTTGGATCCTGCCAAAAAGTGGGCTGGGCTTATTATTAACGTAAATACAACCTGAAAATCAAAACCTGTGCCATTAGCCCATGTCCCTTTTCGAGTTTCTTTAAAGCCATTTCCATCCCAGTGGAACTGGAGCAGGAGTCCTGGAGGTCACTGAGCAAGCTGGAAAAGTTGATGCAGAGTTCATCTATTTCTAGAACCTCTCTCTGCGCCCTGCCATTCCAGCTAGAAAAGCAAGTCTTTGGTCTGAGAAGAGCCCTCTTAGGGAAGGGGAGAACATCCATATGATTTTCAGGGAGCCTTTAGCAAAGAGCAAATTAGGAGTATTTTAGGAGCCAGCCAGCTATTCACCCAGCTCCAGGTTTAATCATGTTCTTCTCTAATCTCTCCTCAACCACCCATCTCCACCGCATGGTGGTTTCCCTCCATGTCACTGTCTAAAGTAGTTTAATTTCTTTTCCATATATATCTGCTTTGTCTTCCCAGCTAGCCTATATGCTTCACAGGGAGGGGTCTCTCTTTTTTTTATAACCTCAGCAGGCCTTTGCACCAGGCTCTGAACATAGCAGCCACGTTACCTACTCCACCAATCTTTGCAGGCTCATTGGCGAAGGCTCTCTTTCAAGCTGGACAGAGAGGAAGCCTTGCCATTATCAACAGAATAACTTGAGAAATGGAAGAAATTTCAAAATACTGCCGAGTCCTCTCAGGGGTTTGGTCCCAGAACCCTGCTTGCCTCTCTCCATCCCCCCAGCACCCCCCATTCTTCAATCTGTTCTTTTCATTCACTTCAATACATATCACTGAATACCTATCACCCTTTCCCATCTCCACACCTTACCTCCCACACTGTGCATTCCTTCCCCGACTTGGCTTTGGACTATCTTTACTCTCTAGTTCCCCAGCCCTCCTCCCTATAGATAGCTGCAACAAAAATATTCTATTTCAACAGCCATGGAAGCCACAAAGTGGTGTTTAAGTCTCCATTGTCTCTCCCCAACAAACACACACACACACACACACACACACCCCTCAGAATTTGGCTTAAATAGATAATACTCATATCCAGAACCCCCACCCTTGGATTTCAGGCCACTTGTCTTTGCTCTCCCAACTGCAAATGGTACAATATGTTAAAATAAAAAAAAAAAAGCCAAAGGCAGCTTACTCTAGTGGTCACATTTTTTCTCCCATGTGAAATAGCTTTTTTTCAGCCTGGGAAATATTTCCAAATAATTCCCTTTAGATTTACTATGATTGGAGAAAAGGAAAAGTAATTAAATCTATAGAAACAGAAACAGCAGTTGGATTCAACTTTCTCTTTCAGAGCCTTTTGCAAACAAATATATTCCACACTTTTATCCTCTAGCTGAGGGGCTGAGGAGATCAGAATGAGCAGTGGGGAACTGGGGGTGTGAGGGACCCTGAAATGGAAAACAAAAGAGGAAATCATTTTATTTACTCCCTCATTTTTCTTTTTTTTAAAGATTTTATTTATTTATTTGACAGAGAGAGAAAACACAAGCAGGGGGAATGGCAGAGGGAGAGGGAGAAGCAGGCTCCCCACTGAGCAGGGAGTCCGACAGGGCTCCATCCCAGGACCCTGAGATCATGACCTGAGCTGAAGGCAGACGCTTAACCAACTGAGCCACCCAGGTGCCCCTAATCCCTCATTTTTCAATTACTTGGAAGATATCTTGTTTACCTCTGGTTCTTCATTTCTAAAATGGGTCCAGCACAAACTATGTAGGAAAAGTGTGAAAATTAACTAGAAAAACCAGGTGAGATGAGCCAAGGCCTCTGGTGACAGATTATGGAAGTAATTTTGAGCAGAGAGCTAAGGCTGCCCCAACCACAACTCAGGGTCAAAGCACAACCACAGTAATGAATTGCCTCTGATCTACACACATACAACTGTCTCCACAGAGATTGGCAAAATTAAAGATCGGGTAGCAAAGCTCTCTGGTTGGCTGACTTAGATCCTTTCCTATGCCAAAAGTGCCACTTTTTCTAGAGGCTAACGGGCATCAGGCCATTGTGCAGGGGTGGGGCAAGGAGTGATCGTTTTTCCTGCCAAGCACTTTGTAACTGAGTAAGACTCTCTTCTGAGTAGACTCTTCAGTTTGAGACCCTGAAAGGATGCTGGCTTCATGAGAACAAAGCCATTCCCTGTCCTATATTCTGAAGCATGTGGCTCATCAGTCCATTCATTCATTCAACTGATATCTACTGGGTGCCTACTAGATGCCAGGCACTGTGCTGGGGACATGGCAGTGAACAAGACCAATGCCCTTTCCCAGGTTTGTCCTATGAGCCCACAGGAAGCAGAGAAAGAGATGGGATCTGTTGGTGAATCTGTGGCCTGAGCTTGCCTGCCCCCTGATGCCTAGTGACAGGCTCAACCTTCTAGCGATATAATAATCAAGGGCTACTGGGACCCACCAACATCAATATCTCACCTACGAAGTCACTTTTCAGTGTGTTACCATCGTTGCAGAGGTCCCATTATAAAGACCCTATGATGTCCTTCCAACTGCACAATGTGTGTAAAACCTACTTTATCCACATTTTATGTGTATCTATGGCATATCTATTCAATATACATGTATACCATTCTGTTTTAGGGCTGAATATCCTGAGTCTCAGGAAGCACTCAGTCCTGGGCAAATCAAGAAGGTAGTTGGTATCATCCCACAAGGTGGCATTTCACTTCAGGTGATTTCTTAGCTAGCTGAAGCTTTTACTACTGTAAACATCAACACTTTCAAAAATTGTAACCATCTTTGAATGAAGTATTTTTAGGTTCTGGTATATATTTACCTGTCCTATGTCTAATTTCCAGGCTGTGAACCATCACTTCTGATGGCAATGTGTGCTTTAGAAGTAGACAAAATTAGGCATGTCTGGTTTGTATATAAACTAAGAGTAAATAGGCTCTGAGTGGGGGCCTGAAGGCTCTCATATGAGTAAAGCTCTCTCTATTGATCACTCAGGGGCTTTGATCCTTTTTTTCCTCTCTTTATTTCTATGTCTCCCGTTCCCTCTATTTCTATCTCTGTCTCTGTCTTTCTGTCCTTACTTCCTGGCTCTCCAGCTGTTATAGCTACTTAAGGTTGTCAGCTGACTACTGGATAAATGAACTTTGTGTAGTCTGCTACATTTCTTAATGCTGATATAAAATTTACTTCCCCAGTGTGAATGTGTTCATTATAATGCATATATTGTACATAAATGGAATGTGTATTGGGTAATAAATGTTACCTTAGATGTACTGACCCCTTTGTCAAAATCTGCTAATTTGCAGAGAAGCACATGTATTTGCAATAGATTAATCAGCTTTACCCTAATTTGGATGACCCACTAGGTTATTTAAAACTTCTGTAATTTTCAGCTTTGAGTTGAGATAAACAATTTTTTAAAAGATACTGTATACAAGGAGAATTAATTCTGCAGCTTTTGAAAGTCATTAAAGTCAAGTTCACCAAGTCTAAATAACTAAGCTGTGCATTCTAAAGGTTTTATTGTTCTGTTTACTCTGTTGGTTACCAGTCAGAGATAATTTGAATTGAGATATCTTTCTGACAGTGGGTTGGCACTTCACTGGGTTTTAGATGGCTGTAAATGATGTTATGCATTTTAAAAAGGCAGCCCGGGGCTTATCTGCAAATGAAATCATAATATATACTATATGTACCATGTATAGCTGCTTAGCATACATCTATCGAATGAATAGTTTTGTGGCCATAAGAAAGCATGCAGTGGGCCTGTGACCTAACCACCAGTCTGCATAGCATCACCTATGAGATATATGTGTGTGGCCTGGTCTCTATCCTTAGATAGAGCTGTAACCTCAAATTCTGTCTTTTCTTCCATTTAATTTCAGGAGGAAGATATCATCCAAGAAAGTCGCTTCTATTTCCATGGCTATGGCCTGGGCCACTGCCTGCAGGCAAGGGATGGAGGTCCAATGGAAGGTTCTGGCATTTATACCCCCCAACCTCCAGCCCCTCTTCTAAGGAAAGGAGAAACCATGCGGAAACTCTACGTGGACCAAGCCAAGAGGATTGACACCATCTCCCGGGCTGTCTTCCCTTTCACTTTCCTCATCTTCAACATCTTCTACTGGGTTGTCTATAAAGTGCTACGGTCAGAAGATATTCACCAGGCACTGTGAATAGGGTGAGGGCTAGGGAGTCCAGATGTTGGCTTCCTGCTTCCTCCTGGGTGGGCCTTCTCCCTCCATTAGATTCCATCAGGGGCTTGGACAATTCATTTCTGATCTCCCACTCAGAACCTCAGTGGTGGCTGTACTTAGAAAGATGGCTCCTCTGCTCTAATCTGGTTTTTCTCCATGCTATCCCATTTCTCCTGAGAGTAAGGTTTGGCCATGTTCCTGGGGCAAGGATGACCTTCTTCCCTTGCTGGGGCCTCTCTGTTTTCCAATTCTCTCCAGTGGAGAATATTCAGATCATTGCTACTATATCCTGCCATTTGTTATCTTAACCTGCACCATTCTTTGCCCTGCCACCCCCACCCAGAGCCTGGCTTTACTCTGCTCTCTGTCACTACTACCACAGGCTCAAATAGGGAGTCTTTCCCATCCACAAGTGCTGCCCTGTGTGACCCAGTCAGTTTTCCTTGACTGTGGGAGGAAGGCAAGGTGACAGGTTCCCCACCTCTCAGCAAGGTTGGAACAGTCATGAGCTGCACTGAGGTAGGGCATTGGTATATGACTCAACAGAGAGGTCTTCAGATCTCATAGGATACTCAACACTGTCAGAATGGGGGCAGGAATCTTGGACTCTCAAAAAAGCCACCCTTCCACATCCATCTGAACTTCCAGGTCTCAGAAATATTTGTTTTGTTCCCTACCTAATATGGTGACAAAGTGTGTTTGGCTGTTGGGGAGTGTAAAAAGAGAAAAATGCTTACTCTTTAAGAAACTTCTCAACAATGCTATAAAACTTTCAAGAAAAGTGAGATCCAAGGTAGTAGGACCCAGGAGGAGTAAAATATAGAAACTATCCTTGGAGAATCTTTTGTTGGCTGGACTTTCGTTTGTTTTTTCTTTTTCTCCAAAGTCTCCTTATTTCCCAGGGCCCCTCATTTTTAACTTGCTCTGTAACCTTCTTTTAGTGAGCAAATAATAGTGCCATTCAACCTTGTCCAGGATAAAGTGGGTTTCAAGCTTCCCAGAAAGGAACTAGGCATATAGAGGACCCCTATCCTGGACAAACATTGGCTTGACCAACCTCAGGGCAGTAGTTGTAGAAGTTAAAGAGCCATAAGTTGGAGTTATTTCTTTACCCTTCCCTTGTTTCCCTTCTCATTCCACAGTGAAGAAGGGTGGCAGTCAGTTGAAGCTACCAGAAATGTCAGAATAGAGAGGGTGTGGAAGAGCCCATTTCAGGCCTAAAATACCACTGGGACATGGGGAAGCATGGGTCTGGTATGCTGAATCTTTTGAAGTGACCCAACTATGAAGAACTCAAAAAGGGAATATTAAAGTACAGGGCTAACAGCTGGAAGACAGGTGATCAAATTATCTCTTAAATATCTTGCCCTTTTCTCTGGACCTAGAATAATTAACTATGTGAGTCCAATCTCTCTCCCTCCCTCTCTCCCTCTCTCCCTCTGCTTCATTCCTCCCTCCCATTTCCTCCCTCTCATCCTCAAAATTGTGTTCTAAGTTGAAAGTAAATAAATCCAATGACCAAAGCAAATTCTGTAGTCAAAGCAAGCATTCACCTTTCTTTCCCCTTTGTCCTATTGAGCTTGTCTGCTCTTTCCTGTTCACTGAGATACTCCTCTTGTCTATCTCTTGGCTTTGAGGAGAGAATTCTGGGCTGACCAGGGTAGCTGGACCAGGAGTTAACCTTGCTGATGATATTAATTATAACTCTGGTGCCAATGAGATTCAAAACTAAAGGACTGGCTTAAGGGAGGAGATTAAATTAAGAGGGCAGAGAGTCCCTGTTTTCCCATTTCTGCCCAGGTAGTGCCAATCAATGAGAGGCTACAAGCAATACCCCTTTGAAAGGAGCAGAGAGTATCTCTTTGATACTCTCCATGGCAGGGCTGGAGTGTCAGGCTGCTGCAGCCCGAAGGCGGGGGTAGTGGGGGGTGGACTATGGAGATGAGCTTACTGCACAGAGCTCTACTTGTTATAGATCTTGTCCAGATGGGCCAAACTGCACAAATCTGCCCTGTTGGAAGTCTCAAGAACAATGCCCTGGAGACAGCTACAGCACGGAGCAATAGAGCCTGCCCAACTGGGACTCAGATCAGGGCATCAGCTGGTGCTGGGAGCCAAAGAAGCCAAAGTACCAACCAACATAATAGCCCAAAGGAGTCCACAAAGCTACTCAGAGGCAATGCCAGGTGGAAGGTACTGTCCCTTCCCATCAGAGCCCCCAAGGGGAGAAGGGAGACACATGGCGTCAGAATCAGGTGCAAATGGCTTTCATTTTCCTCCTCCTTCCCACACATGCATGGGGGGAGATGGGAAAGCTGGGTCCCACTGGAAACATCTGACACCTAGCAATCCATTCAATCGTGACATTCTTGAACTTGGACCCTTTTCACCACAGTGAGTTGGCAGGAGGTGATAGAAGAGACTCACCTGAAGGTCACTTCCATTTACCCTCATAGTACTTACCCCTCCAGAGACCTGGAGGAACTACTGGAACCTACTTTCTGACTGAGTCACATATAAAAGTGATTTTAAGTTTTAAAACATTTTTTTCTTTTTTCTTTTTTTTAAGTAGGCTTCCCACCTAACATGGGGCCTGAACTCATGACCCTGAGTTCAAAAATCATGCTCCACTGACTGAGCCAGCCAGGCACCCCAAAACAGCATATTTTCTAAAGGGGAAAAAAAACTTCCTACATAAATAAAGTGTTTTGGGTGTTTTCACTAATTCATTGTTAATCTTTAATGTCAGTTAAATATTTTATGCATATATTTTTTCAGAGAAGAGACTTTATTCAGTTGTTATTATGGCTATCTGCACCTCCATCTTCCCTTCAGTTTGCTCCACTCTTTGGAAAACCAGTGTTCTGTCTTTCTCTTTCCCCTCAATCCACTAGCAAGGCCTCTTGCTCTCCCAGAATTCACAGTCAAATCAAAAAGAGCTTTTCATGTGGAAGAAAGGTAGTGAATACAATTTATTCCTTTTACTTTCTCCCATAAGCCTTTCCCCCCATCTATCACCAAAGAACTGATACTCTTCTAGTTGAAATATTAAGTTGACTCTTGAAATTATATTCTCTTTTCACTGAGCCATGCAAATATCCCAACTTTGTCCAGAACCTATCACCTCCTGGGAATCTTTATATGTGTCCCCACTTTCCTTTCTTCATTCTCAATTTACTATTATCAACATTGTAATTATTATTATCTTATTTCTGGCTATCAAAATCTTAAATTCAAATCCACTATGTTGAGATTAAAGATCTTCCTAGGCTCCACTGCTGATGAAAGACAAATCAGCCAACCAGGAGAACAATAAGGGATTAGGAACCCAGGTAGTATTATCACTTGCTGAATGGAAGAAATGTAGAATAAGGTCTTTGACAGCAGGGACTGCATTTTATACAGCTTTTTAGTTCACACAGCTCCTGATACATAGCATGCTCAATATGTATATATAGAATGAAAACATGACTTCTCACGCGGTTTATTAGAGACCACATTTCTATTCATTCCCTTTCCATTAACCTATTGATTACAGAAAAAATAGACCTGGAAGGGGACTTATCAAAACAGAGAGAATTCACACACACATGTGCATGCACACACACCCAAGCTGGTCCTTGGATATAACAGAACCAAAGTTAAGAAAACATCAAAACCTGGTAAATTGCATTGTTGAATAAAGAATGATAATGATCTGATTAAACATTAATACTATTCCAAATATCGGGCGCCTGGGTGGCTCAGTTGGTTAAGCGACTGCCTTCAGCTCAGGTCATGATCCTGGAGTCCTGGGATCGAGTCCCACATCGGGCTCCC